GTGTGGTAGATATTGCGTACGTCTACTATTAACGTAAAATACTTAACAAGCGAGTCGCCGTCCCTGTGCCTTAAATGCTGCCGGCAAACGGTGGACATATTCGGTAACGACGGTCAAACTATCAGGGTATCTGCTCCATCTGCTTGGGAGGCTAGCTTGCATTTCAGACAGACCATGCGCCGTCCTTTCTTAACTGCGAATAGTACAGAATTATGCGGCAGAAAAAGGGCTGCTTATGACAACGGAAAGACGGCGTCGCTGGATTTCTCCTTTAGCTAAGCACACTGACGATTTGGGGCAAAGGCAAGTATGCCATCGTTGACTACATTCCGTACATCCAGGAACTCCACTCCTAGAATTATGACCGTGATGGTCACTTCATAATTTTTTAAGCCTCCTCGTTGGTGATTTTCTTACCTCGTCTTTCAACACAAGTTTAAACCGTTCTACATAAATGTCGTCCTCGGATATACTTATTTTATAAATTATTAACAGAAAACTACTGAATATTATCAGATAATATACCGTAGGCGCATATACGATAACTGTGAAGGGGATATGGAACTCTGCGGTCTTTTCTCCACATGATATACCTTTTACTTGTCAGGATCAGTCGTGCTTCAGCAAAGGTTTAGCTGATGCATAATTAGGACAGCCGTCTCATTATCGAATATGGAAGATAGGATTTCAGTGACTATCATGTATGATTTCAGTGGAAATCAAGTGTTGCACTTTTTGCATCCCACAGGATTGCTTTTTTCGATATTACATGACATACATTCGAATGAGAATTACATGTTTCTGAGTCACATTGCTGTGTCGAGGCCAAGTCCGTCTTCGTTAATCTTTCAAATTTATTTGCTCCACAGTTCAGAGGCTTCGAAAGCGTTGCTTCTAGCTGAGTGTAAATTATACGAAAGAATGCGAACATAAGACTACCTTGACGAATTTACATGGTTCTGTAAAAGTCGTTTCACTTAGCTGTCTCACTCTTACTCTTCACCGGAGATGTTTTATTTACCATGTCAACACATTATTGTTCTTCTTACTATCATTGTAGTCACAGTGAGGACTTCTTTATGTGCAAGACAAGTGCCGTCACCCTCAATGTGAAGTCTCAGCGGCGGACAAGCGTAGTAAAAACGACTGGTTTGTAATTTATCTCAATTAACTTGCATCCTGATAGATAATCTTCATGAACATCTTAAGAAGATCCTGTCTATCCTCCGTTTTGAAGATTACATAAAGCTGGTGCGTTATTCCTTAGGTCCTTAATACTCTTTTTAGATTGTTAAGTTAGAGAATCCAGCTCCCCGTCCTTTTTGGCATCGTTACTTGGCAATCATTTCTACAGTCGGCACCCTGGGCTCCGAGGAGTCTATAATTCTTGGACTCGACGTTCAAAAGGGTGAAGTGACAGTTGGTCTTGTTCTCCCTATCCTCCAAGACATGGCTATAAAACTAGATGGTGATGGGTAAGTTAACCTCCGCTCGTCGTTTTTCCAATGCCGTCCTTTTTCTTTTATCCAGAAGCAGCATTTCCCATTTTTATCCGCAGGGTAGAATTAGTTTCAGAAATTCTTATTAATTTATCCGAAAATCACCTTTGTTATTACTCTTTCGTTTAGTGGATTCAAACTCATCACAAAGACGACAGTGTACCTCTTCAAACCCATCTCGGTCCAGGCCCTATGGGCAGCGCATCAAGCAATTGTGATCGCCTGCAGAGTAGCCCAGACAAGGGCATATCATGCCCGAGGTCTCAGTCATACCTGGATCACCTACTACTCTTCACTCGCTTTTTCGGATCCGCAAAAGTTGTACGAATGGAACAAAATGGAGGACATTGAAGATATGGGACGGGCGACTCCGCAACCAGTGGAATTAAGCAGCACCGTAGACGATAACGAGTGAGTAAATTTATTCCACCACTCCGCATTTCGTTAAAACGACTACTTTTTAACATTCGCTGATTGTACATGCGACGTTGCCGCCCCCACTATCAGTTACCTATACAATCTGTAGTTCTTAGGTTATTATCGCGGTTTCAGGCCCCGCATATAAACACGCGTCTTGAGTACTTGTAACTTTTGTATTTTTTTGTCAATCATGTTTGCGTCATACTTTATCTGCTCACTACGTTCTAGGTTATTTCTATAAGGATTTTAACCTGGATTGATATGGCTGTTCTCTTTTACCCCACGCCTTTATACTGATACGCGTAACGTCCCTTACTGAAAGGGACTCCTTATTGATTGCTAATGCCAGTATCTATAATTCCGTCTGGCCAGCCCTTCTGTTTCTCAGACCAGGCAGGGCTGTTGTGTTACTATAGCCCAGGTAGGCCTTTTTAAGCATGCAAGGGAAGGTACCTGACCACTCATAAAAATGCCACCAAAGAATGGACTACTTCCTCGATTGCCGGTAAGCTGAAGTGGACGCGCTAAGCCTTCGAAGAAGGCCTTGTGAACTTTTATTTACGCCGGCTTCTTTTACGGAGTCTTTCGAGGAAGACGTAACTGGGGTCGTATACTCCTGCGATTAAAGGGTGGGTGCCACTGTTTAGTGTGCGTATTATTTGCACTTATGGATAATCATCTGGGCCACGGGAGGGGATGATTTCGTTTTAGCAAAGAGTTGCCGCGATGTACCACTGCATGTTTTGCTGACGAAGTGACCGTCAAGCGCACGCGTTGATTCTTCACTTACTGTAGTGCAGGTTTATATCCTAAATCAGCTTCTGTAAGCGTTCATTTTATTTCTAAGCTATATTCGTAATCGCTTGGTTGATATTTTCGGTCTATAAACAACGTCTTCCGGCGTCTTACCAGTATGTTTACAATCACACATGGGAAAATGAAAGCAAAAACTCTTCTAAAACGCAAGTGTTCGCGAATCCTTGCGTTTTTAATAACATTCGGCCATCAGCAAAACTCATTGTCGGTAATATAGTTCAAATACTTGAGACTCAGAGACTCAGATACTGCAGGCACGAACTGTGGAAAGAATAAATGGCATGGGTATACATTTTTGGAGGTTAGGTTGACCTGCAGATTGAACTCCAGGCCACAAGGGGACGAACATTTTCCGTAATCTAATCGGTGGGCTTCATTCAATATTCCCGGCTACCACCGACAGTACAACGGGCCCTTGCTCAGTGGTAGAGCCTCCGACCCAGTGACCTCGGATGCGAATCTCAGATGTTTCACACCGGATGTTGGTTATGGCTGGTTGACGACGGTTACCAAGTCAGAAATGGTCATTCCGGTCCCTTTTTTGTCTGTACTCCATTATTTGCATATATGTAGATATGTGTTCCTGAATGGTCGATATATGTTTATAAAACACAACCCAGGAATATTTACTTATATATAAATTCCCTGTCGTCGCTGAAGACGGTCTTTTTGACAATGCAGTCCATAGAACTCGGAAAAATAGTGTACCTATTTGGCGTTCCTTGGTTTTACATTAGTCGCTTTTTTTCCATCTTGACCCGGCCGCGTAATGTGATATTCAGTACAAACGTGAGGTTACGTGTTTATTTAGAAGCCTGAAAGTATGCTTTGTCAAACGCGCTGACCTCAAGCGCATGCATTGTACCAGTCACAGTCACACATTTCTGCCCCTCTTAATGCGTACTCTTGTCGTAACCTGTCCCATGAACTCCCGCTCACTTTGCGATTCGTCAGCGCTCTTGATTTACTCACAGAGTTTCTGTTGATCTAGCAATCTATTTTGAGCCTACTTCTACAAGGCGACTGCAGAGCATGGTTATAAAATGGAGCCTGATCATCAGTAAGTAGTTTCTTCCTCAGTCTCCCTTTCTCTGATCTTATGCTTCGGATCCCCATTTCAATGCAACCTCCTAATCCTCATCCTCCTGGTCCTTCTCCCTATTCTTCTTCTTCGTCGCCGCCACCACCCACATTCTTGCATCCGCCCTACTTGCTAGTCGTATTCAGTCACTACAGGCATCACTACATCATATGACAGTGCCACTGTTTTTCTAGTCTTACAAGCCCACCCAACGCACATTTCCAGTCCGTCTCCGTATCCGAATTTTTATGGCTATATTTCTTTAAGTGTCCACAATAGCGAGCGTACTGAGCATTCAAACGCCTAGCTTCTTTCCCCTTTTATGCTTGTATCGGTCTTGTTCCTTATATGGGATGGTTCTTGCCTATTACTGCGTACTTAGTCTCAGTACACAGTTTCCAGTTGGCTCTCTTTAATGAAGAGATCGCGTTGCGCTATTTGCCTCCCTTTTAACACCTTTCTGCTTTCAGGACCGTTCATCTTATAGCGCGCCCGGTAGAGAGCTGTGTTTGCCATCCATAAAACGACCTTGCTACTATGGCAGCCCCGCCGTCTTGGTTATATAGAGCCCGAGACCTTAAGTTAGCAATTAGCTCCGTAAAGACTGCTCTCATTATGTACCCATCTCTGCGCATTGAGCGCACTTCCTTCCCGTAACATCTTTGACCTGCGTAATTTTTTTTCCACCGACGCATCAAATGGTCCGGAAAACCGTCTTTTGATAATACATTAGGTTAGGAAAAATTACTGAAGTCAGGGTTAAGTTATCGCTAAGGATGACTTATCTGACCCTCTAAACAGGACAGGAAAACAGGAACCGCTCGCAACATAGGTGTCTTTGTGTCAACTTCCAGAGAAAATGGGGTTAGTTTTATGGTTAGGGTCAAGGCGCACGTTAAGGTAAGGTAAGTTGGGGTTAAGCGAAGGGTTAGGGTTAGGGCTAAGATTACAGTTTAGGCTTACG